CGCTTCGGGGCGTCCTTGGGGCCTCGGCCAGGCTTTGGGCGCCCGAGCTATCCGGGGCAACTCGGGCCCTGGGTTAACTCGGATTCGGACTCCCGGAAAACGAACCCGAGTTACAGTCGGACTCCATTGGACAGGACACGCGAGAGGACAAAAGACCCTTCCGAGGGCCACATTGCCACAGGAATGTAGGAAGCATGGGTCGCGAGACACAGGACACAAGGGTACCCTTGATTTGGCAGGGTCGACCTACTAATCTGGGCCGACTCCGACTGTAGCCCTGACCCGAGTTACCCCTGATGATTCGGGGCTCTGAACGCTTGCTTTGTGCATGCGGGTTCGAGCTGGCCGTTGGACGTGCCTGGCCTTCGCTTCTCAGTGGGGCAGGCTCCCGGCCTGAGCACATTTCAGGACCTGCGCTGGAGCTTGATGGGCTGCTCGACGAGATGGTCCCCAAGACGGGGCGTTGGTAATGCACGTCTCTGCATTAATCTGCATGGCACGCCGAGGCTTTCAGTTGGCTCACAACCTTCGCCGCCGGATGCAGTGCATCGCTGTGCGCTGAGCGCCCCATCACCCGAGTCCAGACCTCTCCCAGGCCGTCGAGCAGCATACGATCATGAAGACGCCCACCGCCTGGCTTCGGAGGGTGCTCGAGCACGAGGCCGTGGTCAATGGCAAGTTGAGGCCCCTAATTACGAGCAGCGACGCACAACGCGGAATCGTCTCTCGCGCGGGAGAACCACAGGCACAAATAGCGACTGGCCGCAAGGCCCAGGGTGCGGTCAAAATGTGCGCGTAGGCGTGGTCGGGGATCTACTGACCCCGGTCAATCCAGACCCGTGCCACTCAGGCTTTGCAGGATCCTGCAAAATCCTGCAGGATCCTGCGCCCGAACCTGGGTCGGTGGAACCCTGGCCCCGCCGCAGGATCCTGCAAGATCCAGCGCTCTGACTGGCCCCCGTTTGCCTTGACCCCCGTCCCTGGAGCCCTGGTCACCTTTGGACGCCCGATTCGGGTGCGGAAAAAACGGCCGCCGTTGGGCAGGCGGCCCTCGGTCCCAGATGTACACAGGCCGCGGCGACACCGACAGCGAGTCCTGCTCAAAATGAACGGGAACCGCTGTTGGGCATTGGACACATTCCTCCCGTACCCATTTTCGTGCCGATCACCCGCCCGGCAGCACTGCGGGGCGGGCGACCGACGGTGACCTCCCCCCGCTCGTTTCCTCGGCTGCTGGGGCAACCCGGGCGGCGAGAACGGCGCCGCCTGCGGCCCGAGGGGGTCGCGCGCGGGGGGCTCGGCCGCCCCGGCCCGGCAGGCCTGCCGGCAGAGGACCGGACCGCGGGGCATGCCCCAGCAGAGGGGCCACGATCGAGGCTTGGGCCCTCCCCATGGGATGAGGCAGGCCTTGGCATCCCGCCCACGTGCGGGAGAGCGCCAAGACGCACCGTCCCCGGAGCAACAAACCCTTGTCAACTACATGCGAGTCGCGTCCCAGAGGCCATAAACCTTTTGCAAAATATACAATTCTTGCGCCCCCGAGGCAACAACCCCTCGTAAATGACCAAAGTGTTGCGTCCCCGAGGAAACAAACCATTTAAATGACACCATGCTCGCGTCCCCGAAACCAGAATGCCTCGTAGGTTGCTCAATACTCGTGTCCCCGAGGCCACAAACCCTCGTAAATTGCTGAATAGCCGCGTCCCCGAAGCCAGAATCCCTTTACACCATAGTCGCGTCCCCGAGACAACAAACCCTTGCAAATGAATAAATACTTGCGTCCCCAATGCAACAAACCCTCGTAAGTTATTCTGCACTCGCGTCCACGTGGTCATAAACCCTTGCAAAGTGCGCCACATTCGTATTGCCGAGGCCAAGAGTGCTCTAAGGCGCCCGAAGATGGTTTCAAGACGGCCCAAGAGGGTCTTCAGAGGCCCCACGAGCGCTCCGAGAGGCCTTCCGAGAGAGCCCCGAGAGGCCAACATCGTCGATTGTACGTTGAGGTTCTCGCATGTTCGGCTTTCCGACGCTCCAAAATCACTGAAGAGGCTCCCAAGACCGCCCCAAGGCAGCCCAAGACGCCTCCAACAGGACCCCAAGACGGCCCGAGAGGGCTTCAAGATGGCCCAATAATCGTTCCGAGAAGCCCCGAGAAGCCCCCAGGAGGTCCCAAGAGGCCCCAAGAGGCGCCCAAAACTCACCGAAGAGGCCTCCGAGAGGCCCAAAAGATACCCCACGAGGCCCCAAGCGTTCCATCGTTCTTTCTTCATGCAGCCCCATCCTGCATGTCAGCCCTCATCCTCGCCCGTCTAATTTCCACTTTACTGCAGCCTCATTCCTGGCTCTCCAGGCCAGCATGAGCCTCCCCGTTTTGGAGGGGCGACGGAGGTAGGAGCCCTGAGACCCATCCCATCGAGGGGGGGCGTAGGAAACATCGACCCTGGATCCGATTGATTTGTATATATATATACACACACAGAAGACCACGACAATCGCCAACACACAATCCTGCCCCGCTACCATGCTGACGAAGACATGTGCGAACCGATAAGATGTGGAGACAGCAGGCTCGAGCCGAAATGAAATCAGAGAATGATAATGATGCTGAGAATACGGATGTTTGTGCAAAGTGCCTTTTTCCTCAGATTGTGCTAACCGATGCGGCGTACTTCACCAAGCCGACACGTTCGCCTACGCAACAGGAGATCCGTGATGGAGCAGATACAGCACAATACGGATGGCGATGAGGATGGCGACGATGACTGGAAGGCTGAGATGGCGACAAGTGTTCCACAGCAAGGTCAGGCCGCGCGTCGAAGCTGGCCGGCCAGAACCCCTGCGTGGGGCCCTGGAAGCAAAGGCGGCGTAGACCCCACTTGCCGTCGCTCGGACGTCCATCTCCCGTGCATTTGTCGATGTCGTGCGTGTTTTTTGTTGCTCGATGGTCCAGGATGGTCCTCGATGGTTCTCGCCGAGAAAAAAGTCCACACGTCCGAGCGATGCCAAGCCCATGCGGCTTTCGCAAAAAGGACGCGCATCTCGCACACGGGCGGCAGCTCCGATGCGATGACCCAGCACTGCACAGGCCGGAATCCGCCGCCGTGCCCCCGGGCACGATGCGGAGTGTCCTCGAACCCAGGCCCCCTCCACCTCTTAAAGGGGCACACGGCCAGGACTCACGGACTCTCTGGGGAGCTCTCGGGCGCTCTCTGCGCTCATCGCGTGAATTTGCCAGAGGCCATATATGTATAACTATAACTATAACTATATATATATATATATATGTATATATATATATATACATCACCAGAAAACCGACTGATGGTGAACAGTGGTCGGCCCTGGGGGGGAAACCCGAACTGGCCACACGAGTCCTCTTGTGCCAAGAGGCCCCCAGAGGCGCCCAAGAGGCCCCGAGAGCCTCCACGAGGCCCCAGGAAGGCCCCTTAGAGGCCCCATATGAGGCCGCAAGAGGCCTCTAAGAGGCCTCCGAGAGACATCCCAAGAGACCCCGAGGGGAATCCGAGAAGACTCTGAGCCAAACCCAAGTACGGCGGCGGAATGGGCCAAAAGCCACCAGATCCCCCGCCCACTGTTGGCTTACCTCCAGGGTGCCCGGCGTGCTGGCTCCTACCGGTTTTGGTGTTGGTTCGTCTTTCCAAAAGAACTCCCCCCTGGGGCTCCCGCCCAGTCCGCTGGCCACCCGAAAGGGACCATAAGGCCGCACAATCAAGCGCAAACGAGCACAACGTCCGCAAAAAGCTCCCCAAGACGGTTCAAGATAGACTCCAAGACGGCCTCGGCCAACATGGTCCAAGATGGCCTTCGAGACGGCTCAAGAGAGCCCAAGATGCCTCCAAGTTCGTCCAAGAAGCCTCCCAGAAAGCTCAAGAAGGCCCAACGTTGCCTCAAGATGACCCAAGAGGCCAAATTCATTGATTTTCCTCAACCGGGTGGGCGAAACGCAAGGAGGGGGGAGGAGGGGGAGGGGGGGGAGGAGGGGGAGGGAGGAGGGGAGGAGGAGAGGAGAGGAGAGGAGAGGAGAGGAGAGGAGAGGAACGCGGGGCACCTCCTTTTCAAAACGAGGACCCAACACCCCAGGATGGCTGGGAACAATGTTGCGCGCCCCGCGGGGTCTATGCATCAGACCCGGGGGGGGTCACTTGTGAACCACATACTGACATTACCAGAATGACTGTTTTGGAAATGGCTTATGAGGGTGTCAAAGTGATGTCGGCTCGCGGTGTTCAAGTCCCAGGAATGGCGTTCTGGCATGATTCAGGATCGTCAGGACGCAACAATCAAGTTGATCCGTGGCGTTGGAGTCCCGAGAAAATGTTTTGGCATGCTTCAGTGTCTTCAAACAGTTGCCTTCCAACGAGGCAGTTCCCTCAGAGGGAATGAACCGTTGTAGGGGCCTATGAAGAGGGAGCTTGGAGGGAGGGTGCATTCCAACATCGTTGATGACTCTGAGGTTTAAACTGGTCCTCCTCCTCCTCCTCCTTCTCCTCCTCCTCCTCCTCCTCCTCCTTCTGCTACTCCTCCTCATCCTTCTCCTCTTCCTCCTCCTAGTCTTCCCCGCCATCCTCCCCCAAGTGTTCCCCGAAGGGTTTCCACAACGGTTGGGGGAACACATGGTCCGATAGCTTGGCAGAGCTCTTGCCACAACGCTCGGACACATGGGCGCTTTCAAACCGCTTGCTTCCACACGCGTTCCCGAAAGCTCTCCAAATCGACTCGGGGAACAACTGACCCGATAGCTCGGCCAAGCTCTAGCCCAGCTGTTGGCTACAAATAAGCACTTTCGCAGGGGTACGGGGCGGCGGTGACTCGCCGTAGGCGTTTTCGATACTGAATTGATAGAGAGCAGTACCCGGAAAATTCGATCGACCGCGAGGGAGACGGGGGAAACGGACCACGAGCTTGCGCATGCGCGGTGCTGTCCGCAGGAACAAGGGCGCCAGCACCATCTGGCCCCGCCGCCAGAGAGGAGGGGAGAGGAGGGCAGAGCACAGGATGCCCCGCACTGGGCCTCTCAGCCGTCTGCTCAGCGGCCCCACACCGAGGAGACTCGGCGGAGGTTCAGCTTCTGTGGGAGGAGGAGAGACGACATGGACACACAAACTCTCAGACGTCTGCACGGATGTCTTGGATCGGCGCTGGAGCCTCGCAGCGCCGATCCACAAGGGCAGCCAGGTCCGCACATTGCACTGCGCGAAGCGCGAAGCGCGAATACCTTCGCGCTCTCGCGTCGCTCTGGCGAGAATTTGAATTTGGCCATGGCGAGAAGGGAAGAGGCAGAGGTATAGTACATTGCCCTCCTCCAGCTTGGGTATCCAAGAAGGCCGCGCTGACCTCTGGAAGCCTGTGCTGGTGCGTTGGAGTACCATGAGGGACCTGCTCTAGAACAGGAGCACACCGTACACGGATCTATCCTTGCTCCGACCCTGCACTGCGTCGAACGCAACGGCCGCCCTGTTTATAGACGTATCCGCCCCGCGTGCGCCTGTGTAAGTAACGGCACCCAATGCGTCCACAGACGCTTTGAGTCCCCAGATGTTGTATCTGTCTTCTAGAAGCAGATAGACTTGGCCCTCCGACTCATGCGAGCGGGAATACATCCAGATAGACCGCCCGTGGAACCGACGTTCTGGGACCCCAGAGGGCGATGGACACGGACATGCTTCGCCTCCCCAGGGCCCGAACATGTCACATGTCCATATCCACCGCCCGCCGACGTCCCCGAAGGTCGACCCCCACTGAAGGTGGTTATGGATAAACTCCTGCCTCGGAACTAGAGGCCTCCAAGACGGGGTCCGACCCGACCCCATCTGCTCGGACCCCGTCTGGGAGGCCCAAAGGAACTCATGCCGCCATCTTCTCCTCCGATCCTCGGGCTGGGCGAAAGGAGGGGATAGCAAAGGGGGGCTTTGAGAATCAGCTCACGTAGCTGATTCTCCCGGCGCCTCCCGGCGCCAGAGGCGGCCACGCATCCAGGAATGGGCCCCTCGGTGGGCCCAAACCAGCTCCGTGCAGCAGGTTTCGTACCCCCCCCTTTCCCTATTCCCCCCTCTCGCTCGGCCCGAGATCCTTCAGCGGGGGCCCGGCGAGAAGCGTCGGCGCCGCCGGCGCCGCCGCAGCGGCGCCCGCGGGGGGCCCGCGGGAGGCCCGCGCCACGGAGTAGTCGTTCGGGCGCCCGCTGCAGCACAGGCGGCCCAGCCACGCGAGGCAGCCGGGGGCCCGCCGGGCCCTCGGCGGGAGGCCGCGAACAACAACGTGGGGGGGGGGGGCCTCGGCCTCGCGGGAGGCCCACTCGGAGAGGGAGGGCCGGCCGAGACGGCGGCGGCGCCACCTGGCGTTCTCGAGGTCCTGCGCAGGCCTCCCTTCGGAGGCTGCTCGTCGCAGCGGCCGGATCAGTCAGGGGGCCACACGCGAGCCCCGACAAATTAAGAGAGAAGTGACGATACGTGACATACGATCGTATGGGGATAAAATTCGGCGCAGTTGACCATAACCTCACAGTCGTAAGTGTTGCGCCGGTCCTCGTTGCCCTCCGCGTCCAAAGAAGCCGACTCCACCGCCCCCTCAGAAGTCGCGGGGGGGGGGGGGCAGGGGCAGGGTTCACACCGCGGCCTCCCACAGAGCCGCCCGGGGGAGGAGCGGGGTCGGGGCGGGCCCCGGGAGAGCGTCCAGGGGGCGAGGCTGGGTGGGCGTGGGCCGGGCGGGAGAGCCGCCGCGCGGTCTCCACTCGCCCCTCCTGAGGTGCGCGCGGGGGTTTTCTGGAGCGGGTCCCTGGGGCCCACGCCTCCCGGGGAGGCAACTCCTGCGAGACCTTCGCGGGAAGGAGCGGGGGCCGTCCACCCCCAATGCAGGGCTGAGGGGCCACTGGCCCAGAGCGGGCCAGGCGGAAGCCAAGGCTGCACATATATATATATATATATATATATATATACATATACATATACATATATATGTATATATATATATGTAAATATATATATATATATAACAAAAAAGCGGAAGTGAGACGGATTGCGCGACGTCAGGACGGGGTAGGCCGCGGGTGCGCCAGCGCCGATGCTGAATCTAACCTCCCAGGAGTTGCGCCATCGAGGGATGCTGATATTGATATGTTCGGATGAGGTTGAGCCAGGCTCTCTGGGAGCCGGCGGGTCAGGCAGATGCATCGGGCGCCGCGGCCCGCGGCCCTTCTTCCAGAGCGCCCTGGAGTGCTCCGAGGGCGTCCTGGAGCGCCCTGCTCTGGAGCGAGCCCTCGGCGGTGGACAAACCTCCCTTCAGAAAATCTCCATTTAAGGAAAACGGGCTGGGACCGAAACCGACGGACCAGGATCCGCAAAAATGACGGCCGCGACGCCCTCTCGCGAACCGAAAACGGCCAATTCCTTAATCGACGTGTCAAGGTAGGAGGTCTATCCACCTCCGACTCTTCTCACTCTGGGCCTGCCAGGCGCACCGGCTTCCCAGGGGCGCGCCCTGGGGCGGCACTGGAGGCGGTGCGGGGAGCAAGGCCACAGGAAGCAGGGCTGAACCGAACCAGTGTTTTTCGTTTTCGTTTTGTTTTCGTTTTCCCTCGTTTTGTCGTCAGTCCACCTCTATCGCAAAACGAAGTCGAAACGAAAACGGCCCACGAAATCGCCAAAACACCGCTCAGGTCCAGCCCTGACACGCAGGACACCAGGAATCCGCGCGGGCCTCCGAGAAGATCTGGCCGTGCCGGGTTCCGTCCCTGGCCTGAGGAGTGCCAGCTCCCCCGCGCGCCTCTGGAGGTTCCTGCTCCACTCGCCGGTGTCGACCTCCCGAACGATGAACTCGTCGACGGCCCGGACGGCGTTGCTCAGGCCGGCCTCCGCCCGCAGCTCCTCTCCCACGGAGCGCGCCTTCGCGATAAGCTGCCTGCAAGATGAGCCAGCATCGAATTGGGCAGTCGACTCAAATTGGAATGCGCGTCGGATCAGGCCGCATCGGCACGGGATCGAAATCGGATCGGCCCGGCTGCGCCACGATGAACAGCAGCGCCGCGCAAACACCGGGCCGCATCGGATCGTGGGAATTTCGGAATCGGATCGGATCGAGCCAAGAGGAATCGATACCAGCCCGGACCAGTCGCATCGCAATGGGCACCGGCCTGTCGGTCGTGCACCTCTCCAACGCGCCCGCCAGATCCGCGGCCGTCACCTTCGCGAACTGCCTCATCCTCAGGCCGGTGCCGCTGTCGGCGACGAGGCTCGCGTTGTCGAACTGGTCGAAGGCGAACGGCGTGACGACGCCGGGGACGCCGCTCCGCAGCGAGGCGGCCGTGGTGCCCGCGCCGCCGTGGTGGACAATCGCCGCGCACTGCGGGAAGAGCCACTCGTGCGGCGCCGACGGGACGAAGAGCACGTTCTCCCTCGCGAAGGCCAGCATCTCGGGCGTGTCCGGCTGGCCCTCCAGCCCGGCGGGCTCCAGCTTCGCCCAGCCGCCCAAGACGACGCCGCGAAGGTTTGCCCTCATCAGGGACCTGACGGCCAGGCACGCCATGAAGGAGCTGGAGACACCGACCATGGAGCCCCAGCCCATGTAGACTGGGGGCGGGCCCGCGGCCAGAAAGTTGGCGAGGTCGTCCGGCTGATCCCCTCCGAACATCGCGTCTCCGCTACCCATCCTGGCCATCTGCTCATCCTTGCCCACGACCCAGAAGCCGGTGCAGTTCACCCTGCGCTTTGCGTCGGCGGTCCAGTCCGCCTTCGGGGAGTAGAGGCTGGGGCTGAAGCCCACTAAAAGGGGCGCGATGGGATGAAACTGGTTCAGCATCTGCTGCCTGAAGCTAGATGGGACGAAGGGCGATGCTTCTGGCAGCTGTCTCAGAATCTCCTCGTACTTGGGCTTCATGGCAGTGCTCCAAAAGATCCAGTGGACAAAGGTGCCCAGGAGCCTCCGGGGGAAACACCCCGGCTCCCCGAACATGGTGGGCTGATCCCTGCTCGGAAGGCTGATCTGGAGAGACGCCAAGACAGATGGGATCCCGCGGGCAGCCGCGATGGCTTCTACCTCAAACGCCTCGAGGGGCGTTGCGATAAGGACGTCGGGTCTCCACTCTTCCACCTCCCTGATCTTGCTTTCGAGAAGCCCTGGGAAAGCTCGCTTTGTCTCGGGCTCGACCAACTTGCACATCTTGTAGATGTCACCTTTCTCGAGAGATTTGCGGACCTCAGGTGCGTTAAGGAGCTTCTCAACGTCCAACCCAGTGCTTGCAACCTCAATGCCGAACTGGCGCATAAACTGCACGTGGTTGGAGTTCGTGGCGACGCGGACCACGAAACCCGCCTGCTGCATCGCCAAGCCCAGCGCCGCGAAAGGCTGGACGTCGCCGCGAGAACCGTTGGTGAAGATCATGATGCGGCGCCCCTTCGACGCGACCGTCCCTCCAGCCTGCGACGAGTTCGCCGCCTCCGCCTGCGCTCTGTACATTGCTGAAGCGAGAGGCGTGGGGCGAGGGGCAGTGTGCCCCGAACGGCAAAAGTCTCAGGTACACTGCCTGAGCCAGGCGGGTCAGGGCTGGGGCGATTCTCAAAAGCCGATGCGCGCTGGGGACCTATCTGCCACCGCACCGCCAGGCACAAGTTGGAGTGTCCTCAGGTCCTCCAGTCCTCAGTCCTGTGGCCTCAAGATCGGGTAATGGAAGGGCCCAGACAACAAATTCCTACATCTCCCGAGGCCCCCAGAGGGCCCCAGATGCCCTAAAAAAGCCCCCAGGAGGCCCTCAAAGCTCCCAAGAGGCATCCTTTGACTCCTCCTCCTCATCCTCCTCCTCCTTCCCAGGCCGAAGGTCCCCAAGCCCGAGAAGAGGCCCGGGCCCCACCGACGACCCCGAGGCGCACCTCCCCCCGCCAGCCTGCGCGCCCAGCGCGGCCAGCGCGGGCTCGGCCCTGGTCGCGCCAATGCCCAACACGAACGCGAAGAACAATGTGATCGCGATGCCGAGCCAGCGCCTGCCGTGTCCCGAACCACTCCTCCTCCTCCTCCGCCTCCGCCTCCTCCTCCTCATCTTCCTCCTCCTCCTCTTCCTCCTCCTCCTCCTCCTCATCCTCCTCCTCCTCCGCCTCCTCCTCTTCAACCTCATTCTCCTCATGCGTTTCTTCCTCCTCGCAATCGCAATCGCAATCGCAACACAAGGCCAGGCCGACCAAAGCACACGAGGGCGAACCTGGAAAGGCACACAGCTCAAAACCAAGCATGAAAAAAGAGAGGCAGAGAGAAAGGAAACAGGGATGGATGATAGAGACAAGAGGGCAGGGATGAAGCATTGGGGGATGTAAAACCTGTCCGCCACATTGCTAACCCAACTTCCACTCCGAGCCCGTGCGCGACTGGTACAGGCTGTCCCGCAGGATGGACGATGCGGGTTGGGAGGGGGTAGGATGGGCAAGCATGTTCTCAGATGTTCCTCAACCCATGCCTCCGTCCGATCCTCCTGCTGGCACATTTTACATACATGACCTGCTAACAACTGGGAACAACCTGGACTCGGCACCCTTGTGCCGTCAACAAGCCGTGAGCAACTGAGAGGCAAGGCAGCAGGCGCGAATGTGTAGCCACTGTATGGCACGCTGATACGAATACTGAACAGACGATGGTCGGTCCCGGCTTGAACACCGTTATGCCTGAGCCTCGCCTTGAGCTCAGCGGCGCGGATCGTCTGAACTGTTCGGATCTCCGTCTTCTGGTTTCGGCTCAAAAGCCACGCTTCAGGGGCACAGCGTGGCCGACGGTGTCACTGCAATCCTGCTGTGCTGCGCTGAACTCTATCGCGACTGGCGTCGTCGCAGCCTACACCGCCCCCTAGACGGGGGTCCGCCCAGCACTGCCCCCAACTGCAGCGGGTGTCAAAAAGTGGGGGTACAGGGAGAGGGAGGACAGAACAATGGAGGAATGGGCAGCCTCGGCTGTGAGGTGCTGCCTGTGCGCACTGCTCGCAGCGGCCGTTAGCCCCGCGTTCCATCCTACCCGCCGCCTCCGAATGATCAGACGTGGGAAGGCGCTAACAAACACACGTGCCGACACAAGCTTCCGAAACGCACGTGCCTCTTTGCCGCTGCCATCTGCTCGTGCTCTTTGCTGAGTGGTTGGCAGAACACGCCGACTGACAACGGGCTGGATTGGGTAAACTGACGTCAGCTTCTTACCACATCAGGAGCGCAAGTCCCTCCTCCTGAACCTCGCTCCTCCCATCCTCTCAGAACACTTGGCGACTAGACGCTCGATCCTCTTTGCCACTAACAACTGTCACGTGTCTGCTAGGTTACGGACAGTGAAACCACACCTGGGCAACGAGCGATACACACGCATGCCCTATACACATGTGTTACGCGCGTGCTGCTCGTCACGGTCGGTAGCAACGGCACGCGCAGGGAAGGAGTGGGGTGGGGAGGCACAAAAGCCGCTCGAGCCTCCGTGGCAATGCCACCTGCTGCTTGTCAAGCGCGCTGCTGACAGAGCAGGCAAGCACAGACGGGCAACGAACGATACAGGACGTAAAGGGCACACGCCGCCACCACCAACACGCGTTGCGTATGCTACGCGCGTGCGGCTCATGGAGAGAGGTCTGTGGACTGCCGGCGCTCCTCTCTCCGGCCCAGCCGGACTTCTCCTGCCTGCGCTTTGACGCTGGCCCTGATGCTGGCCCCTTCCCTGCCCAGCCTGCGGGCATGCTGCGCCAGCCCTGCGCACTCCGCCGCCCGCTGGCCAATCCCCCTCGGCCTCTGGACATGTGTGGCCTTCGGCTGGTCAGACGTCTGCTCTCCCAGGCTGTCGCCCCCCTGGTTAGAACTGACCCCGCGCCACTCCTCGACGACACCGCGCACTGCTGCCGACAAATCGCCCTTGTCTGCGAGGCAAAAGCATTTCGAAATTGTCGCCCCCAACCTGTGCTGTGGCTCCTCCAGAAGTAGCTTGGCTCGTCATCAGCGGCGCGATGCCAAGCAGCGAAAAGTCCGCCTTGGTGTTCCCCCTCGCGTCCTGCAGCATCTCCTTGGCCGGCATCAAAAGACATGTCGAAGAGCATTACTCCAGGAGACAGCGCTGTGGCACTGACTTCACTGAATTTGCTTAACGAATGCAACAAACGAAAACGAAAGATCGTTCCCGCCCATACTCACCTCACCGGGGTCCTTGCCGTCGCCGCCCAGACTATGAAGGAAGAAGGCGGCGCCGCAGCCTGCCGATTGCCATGACATCTCTGCGGCTCGCGCACATCCGCGATTACTGGCGTGAGGCTTCTCATGCCCGCGCTAAGCTGAAAGAGAAAGACACGCTCTTGACGACGCCCGTAGTCCCCTCCTGACGCTTCCTGAACTGGCCTGCAAAGGCCGAAGGGCGCGCCAGCACAGGGGAGGGGGTGGTGCTTCAGTAGCCACTCTTAACCACGCTGACCGCTGCCGTGGACTGGCCTTCCACTTCGGGGCCGATTCGAAAGGCATCAGAATTGCATCCGAACCATCGGCGGCTGCGTCTCCACGTTCTAGCTCCCTGACGAGCTCGGCAGCAGTTGCAACGTTTGAACACTGCTCATATGGATGACCGCATGACAGTGGCGGACAGCGATGCGCTGGGCATCCCGTCTGCGCGACATCGCAACTGCATGGAATAACGAAAACATTGCCCGCGCACGCGAACTTGGGCTGGACAAGCCGTGAAGTGGCGACCGAAGAAAACCCCTGGGGCCAGTCAACCCAGCCCACTTGAGCCCAAATGGCTACGGCTTCCTCCTATTCGATATCCTCCTCCTCCTCCTCCTCCTCCTCCTCCTCCTCCTCCTCCTCTTCCTCCTCCTCCTCCTCATCATCCTCCTCTTCCTCCTCCCCGCCCCAAGACGAGGACGACCGCGACCACGACCGCGACGACGACGACGACCACGACCACGACCACGACGACGACGATGACGGCGGCAGCGGCGGCGACGACGACGACGTCTCCTCCTTCCTCCCTGCTTGCTGCAAGGTTAGCGAGCTGCTGCCTGTGGAGCGGAAGCTCCCCATGGACCTCGGCGTACTCCTCGGGGAGCCACTTGCCCTCCTGCAGGGGATGGGAGAGGGGGGGGGGGGGGAAAAGGGAAAAGGGGGAACGAGGGAGGGAAGGAGTAGTGGCGTCCTAAATGGGGTCCATGTAGATGGGGTCGGGGGGTCGCATCGCATCGTCAATGCATCGCCGATGCGTCGGCGGCGACGTCGGCGTGGGGAAAATGTGGTTTCCCATCAAGCCGCATCGCCCATGCATCAGCGGTGCCGCGCAAAATCCCGACCCCATCTACCAAGACCCCACTTGGGCGGCCCAGGGAGATGAGAGAGAGGGGGGGAGAGATCGGGGAGAAGTAATTTCGGCGGCGTGTGACACGAAGGGGGGATCTTCCAGGAAGGCATGGGGGCTTCTTAGAAGGCGGGAGCTTTCTTAGAAGCACCTGGCGGCTTCTAACAGACCTTCTTAGGAGCCCCCTGGCGATTCAAAAAAGGCCCCTGCCTTCCGAAGAGCCCCCCTGCATCCTGAGAAGGCCCCCCCCTCGCACCACAACCCCTTGTGCGCGCCGCTGGTAAGACACGGGTTTCTGAGGACTCGGGTTGGCCTGACGCAGCCGTCAAGACAAAGACGTGACGCAGTCTGAAGTCTGCCGCCGGCTCTCGCTGCAAACATGTTAGCGGAAACTGGACCGCAAAAACTCACACGGGGGCCGGCAAAGAGCGGCGGCAGACCCGAGCTTTGGCAAGCTCGAGTCTTACGGAGCGGGGGATGAGAAGGTATGTCACGACAAGGAACAGGGGTCGCATGCCCTCAAATCCATCTATTAGCTCGATGAAGACACCCAGCGATGTGAATCTGCCAAGCCACCAACGATCCCACTGGCCCCACAACCGGCAAGATGATCAGCCCGCTCGTTCAGAAACACCCCAATATGGCTTTCAACCGTCCTGAAGATACCATGACCGGCAACCTGCTCCAAATATGGCGAAGCCGAAGCACAAATCGACAATTCGCCCACCCTTCGATGCGACGCCAGGCCACCCCCGCCGCATATTCTGAATCGTATTCGATAACGATTGCCTAAGGGGAAGAGGAGGAGGCAGAAAAACATGATGATGCAATGTATTATTGAGCCCGAGAGAAGGCAAATAATAAAGCAAATAACTCGCCAACATTGCTGGTACGCCGACGGGCACCGATATACCCAGTGTCGTGCGGCTCCAGGGTGGTAGTCCCACAGAAAACTGTCAGTTCACACAGAGATGGCCAAGCAACAGGAAAGCCACAGCCAGAACATTCCGATGCCTCGTCGTTCCGAAGCCCATTCCCTTTGATCCCTTCCCCGACGGGGATGGTAGCAGGGGGGTCCCCAAAGAGGGTCCGAGGGGAAAACGTGACGGATTACAACCGAGTGGGACGGAGTCCAATAATTGTAATACCAATTCCAACCAAATTGGTACCAGTCCCATCCGCTTTGAAGCTCCTTCGAGATTCCTGAGAGATTACGCTTAGATTCCTTGGGAGATTCCATTGTGATTCCTGAGAGATGCGTGCGAGATACCGATACCTAAGGGTAGTCTTTAGAGATCCCCGAGAGATGATTCAGAAATTCCTTGGAAATTCCTTCGGGAGTTTCCTCAGAGATTCCTTAGAGTTAGCCCTCAGACAATTATGTTTCCTGGCAGATTCCAAAAGCATTCGCTACAGATCCCCTACATACTCCTTGCTGATTCCTTACGTCACCCCTGTGGACAGGGGGAACAGGGTGGCCGTCCCCTTACTAACAGGGGGAACTCCAGACCCCCACCTCCGCCTCCCCCCATGTGGACAAGGAGCCCACCGTCCCCCCCCCCGTTGCGGGCTGCGGCGTGTTTCCCTGCATGCCTCCAGAGAGGCCTCAGATCTGCGCCGAGGCGGCTCCAAGTGGCCACGGAGCTTCCCAAGAGGTCCCCCCAAGAGGCCCCCCAACACAGCCCAAATAGGCTCCCAAGGGAGCCCCAAGAAGGGCTCCAGAGCGTCAGCGTCGTCGTGGTCGCCGCCGATGCCGTCGTCGCCGTCCCCCTTCAGGGTCGGCAGCACCAGCCGCGAGGCCATCCCAAAATATAAATTGCGCGAGATAAAAAAATGGTTTCTGACAGCGTCTTGCCCGGGACCAACGTATCTAAAGCCCCCTGGGTGAAGCCGACCTCGGGTGAGCGAAAAGCTCGCAACAGCGCAAAGTAGGACGAGCATGACAGTGTTCGATGTGTCTCAGAGGTTAGCAGTATCAAGCAAAGCAACTTGCGGGTCACAAAATCCTCAACAAACACCTCATCCTTATCCTACTCATCTCGTCGTTCTCCATCCCTCTCTCTCTCTCTCTCTCTCTCTCTCCCTCTCTCTGCCGGATCGTCTTCCTCGTACTCCTGGTATGTGTCTCGTCTTGCTTCCCCTCGTCATCCACAAACCTTGGTCTGGTCAGTATTCCTCAGTCTGCTCCTCATCATCCTCAAATGACTGCAAACCATGATCTGTCCCCTGATGGCCCCATAATCGCCATCATCATCATCGTCGTCGTCAGCATCATCATCATCATCATCATCATCATCATCATCATCATCATCATCATCATCATCATCGTCATCGTCATCATCATCATCAGCATCATCATCATCATCATCATCATCAGCAGCAGCATCATAATCATCATCATCATCATCATCATCATCGTCGTCATCATCATCATCATCATCATCCTCATCATCATCATCATCATCATCATCATCATCGTCGTCACCGTCATCATCATCAGCATCAGCAACAGCTTCATCATCATCAGCAACAGCATCAGCAGCAACAGCAGTATCATCGTCATCATCATCAGCAGCAGCATCATGAGCATCATCAGCATCATCATCATCACCATGATCATCATCATCATCATCATCATCATCAGCATCATCATCATCACCATCAGCATCATCATCAGCGTCGCCAGCATCATCATCACCATAATCATCAGCTGCATCATCATCAGCATCATCAGCATCATCAGCATCATCAGCATAAACGTCGTCAGCAGCATCGTCGTCATCGGCAGCAACAGCATCATCACCATCATCAGCATCATCAGCATCAACATCCTCATCAGCAGCAGCAGCATCAGCATCACCGTCACCGTCATCAACAGCATCAGCAGCATCATCAATGACATCATCATCATCATCATCATCATCAGCATCATCAGCAGCATCATCATCATCATCATCATCATCATCATCCCAATCATCAGCATCAGCATCAGCATCAGCATCATCAGCATCATCGCCATCGGAATCGCCATCGTCGTCATCATCGACATCGTCATCAGCAGCATCATCAGCATCATCAACAGCTTCAGCATCATCAGCATCAGCATCATCGACAACAATATCATAAACATCATCAGCAGCATCGTCATCATCAAGAGCAGCAACATCATCATCCACAGCGTCGCCATGATCGTCGCATCAGCCTCACCGACATCAACATCATCGCCACTATCATCCCCGTCACAATCCCCAATACAATTCCCATTGCCATGATCACCAACATCCTTATGACTATCCGCATCAACATCATCATCATCATCCAAATAATCGTGTCACGTTTAATAACCATCATCCTAAGCATCATCAGTATCCTCATCATCGTCTTCGTCGTCGCCGTTACCCTGGTCATCAAAACCTGGAAATCAGCTCCCTCCCGATGTGTCCCCCACCCAATCCTCCTCCTCGCTCCTCCTCGCTCCTCATCCTCCTTCTCCTCCACCTCCTCCGCCTCGTCCCACGCCTCCTCCCCCTCCTCCTCACGTTTCCCTTACAGCATCATGATAAGCCTCATAATCATCATCAGCCGCATCATCATCAGCATCATCATCAGCAGCAGCAGCATCATCAGCATCATCGTCATCATCATCGTCGTCATCATCATGATCATCAGCATAATCAGCATCAGCATTCACATCAGCAGCATCACCATCCTTATCGTCAGCATCATCAGTATCAGATCCATCATCATCATCATCATCATCATCATCATCATCATCATCAACCTCATCCCCATCTGGTCCTCCTCATCCTGCTCCTCCTGGTGGTTGCCATAATACTCAGCATCAGCATCAGCAGCATCAGCATCAGCAGAACCGTCGCACTACGCCAAAATCATAATAAGCACCGACACCGTCATAAGCATCATCGTCACCAGCATCATCAGCATCAGGAACAGCAGTCGCATCATCATTATCAGCATCATCATCAGCAGCATCAGCATCATCAGCATCAGCATCAGCATGCTCATCATCATCGTCATCGCTATCGCCATCGTCATCAGCATCAGCATCCTCATCATCATCGGCAGCAGCATCGTCATCAGCATCAGCATCGTGATCAGCGTCGGCATCGTCAGCATCATCGTCGGCAATCCTCATGACCATCATCATCAGCAGCAGCATCAGTATCATCCGCATCAGCAGCAACATCATCAGCCTCCTCGGAACCCGCCTCATCATCAGCATCAGCACCACCATCGGCAGCACAGCATGATCATCACCATAATCATCATCGTCATCAACATCAGTGCCAGCATCAGCATCATCATCATCATCACCATCAGCATCAGCATAACCATCATCATCACCATCATCACCATATCATCACCACATCAGCATCATCAGCATCGGAATCATCAGATCGTCTGCATTATCGGCATCGTCATCGGCGACATCCTCGTCAGCATCATCGGCATCAGCAGCATCATCATCATCATCAGCATCATCGTCATCATCGTCATCGTCAGTGTCATCGTCATCAGCATCATGAGCATCAGCAGCGGCATCAGCATCATCGTCAGCAGCACCGTCACCATCATGGTAATCAACAGCATGTCTTATCGACATCATCTTCATAATCAGCAGCATCAGCATCATCAGCACCATCAGCATCATCAGCGTCATCAAAATCATAATCATCATCAGCATCCTCATCATCACGTCGTCATCGACATCGTCATCATCAGCATAATCAGCATCATCATCAGCATCAGCAGCATCATCATCATCACCATCATTATCAGTCCCAGCATCATCATCAGAATCAGAATCGGCAGCACAGACGTCCTCATCAGCAGCAGCATCATCATCAGCCTCATGATATGCATCATCAAACATTATCAGCATCATCAGCAGCAGCATCAGCAGCATCAACATCAGCATCAGCTACAGCATCATCAGCATCATCACGATCACCATAACCATCAGCACCATCGTCAGCATGAGTATAGTCCTCCTCCTCCTCATGATCACCACCACCAGCATCAGCATAATCAGCATCATCATCAAAATAAAAATCATCATCACCATCATCATCAGCATCAGCATCCAAGTGTCGATGATGATCATCAGCATCATCATCATCATCGCCTGAATCATCAGCATCGACACTAGCGACATCATCAGCAGCAGCAGCAACAGCATGATCATCAGCGGCATCGTCATCATCATCATCATCATCATCATCATCATCATCAGCATCATCATCATCATCAACATAAGCAGTTGCATCACCATCATCAGCATCATCAGCAACAGCAGCATGATCATCATTACCTCGTCCCTCCTCGAAAACCCTCCTCAGCCATCCCTTCACACGATCCCTCGTCCTCCCCCGTCCTATTCCTCCCCCTCCTCTTCATCAAACACACCAAAGACTGAACAGCGGCCACCTTACACCTAGAAGGTATTGCACGATCCAGCCGCGCAAGCGAACGCGCTAAAAGAGAACGAACGGAGTCGGGCCTGAGCTTGCTTCCTCCTGCTCCTCCGTCGCCGCCCGCTCAGCCTCCTGTCCCTCCTGCTGAGGGCCTTCCCCCGTGGAGGCGTCCTGCTTCCCTAGCGCCGTGAGGCCGTACGTAAGCCCTATGTTGAACAGCACGAGGCCGCACCACGAGGCCAGGAGCCCCGGGCCGACGCCGCACTCCCTGACGAAGGCCTCGAGCTGAGCTGCGGGCTCCTCCGCCTCCTGCTCGGCCCCCAGCTGGTAGAGCTAATTCGTCCTCATCCTCCTCCTTCTCCTCCTCCTCCTTCTCCTCCTTCCCGCCTCCCTCCTCCTCCTCCTCCTCCTCCTCCTCCCCTCCTCCTCCTCCTCCTCCTCCTCCTCCTCCTCCTCCTCCTCTCCTCCTCCTCCTCCTCATCATCACCAGCAGCATCATCATCATCCATCAGCATCAGCATCAGCATCATCAGCATCATCATCATCATCATCATCATCATCATCATCATCATCATCATCATCATCAGCATCAGCATCATCATCATCATCATCATCATCATCATCATCATCATCATCATCATCATCATCATAATCATCATCATCATCATCAGTATCATCATCGTCATCATCATCATCATCATCATCATCATCATCAGTATCATCATCAGCATCATCATCAGCATCATCATCAGCATCATCATCATCAGCATCATCATCAGCATCATCATCATCATCATCATCATCCTGACAGGACTCACCCGCCTTCTGATATTATGATCTTCCCAATAATCACTAGCATCATCACCACCACCATCACCATCACGATCGTCATCGCAATCGTCCTCGGTATCGCCGTCTTCGTCGGTATCGCCGACGTTGCCGCCGGCATGACCGTCGTCACCGTCATCGCCTTCGCCACTATCGCCCCAGTAGTCGGCATGGTCCTCACCAGAATCATCATAAGCATCATCACCATCATCACACCCCCACCACCACCACCACCATCATCATCATCACCATCATCGTCATCACAACATCATCATAATCATCACCGGTGGCATCGTCATCATCATCAGCATCATCATTATCGTCATCCATATCATCAGTACCGTCATCAGATTCATCATCCTCATCAATAGCATCAGCATCAGCATCATTATCAGCGGCAGCATGATCATCATCGCCGTCATCATCATCGTCGTCTATCATCATTAGCGCCGTCATCATCATCGTAACATGTGCAATAACAGCATCGACATCATCATCGCCATCATCACAATCATCCCCGTCCTCATCCTAATCACCAGTATCATCATCGAAACAAGTGAAAAGCCATGAGACGGAATGTGAAGTACGCAGTCTCGCGCTTTAATTGGTCTTCAAGCGTCATTATACTTAATGTCATCGTTTGGCAGCTGAGAGGCCACCATGCTCGATCAATTCGCTTACACCGTCGGGGAGTGTTTCATCGGAGCCTGCATTCATGTGGGGTGCTCCATCGCGGGTGTCGTCTTCGTGGAGTGCCTCTGTGTCGTCATGCAGAGCGTCCTCGTGGCGTGCATCTCGCAGTGCTTCATCGTGGGGTCTCTCTTGACTGCAGAGTGCCACGTCTTCGAAGAGTGTATAATCTGGGAATGCTTCATCGTTGATGCGTCCTTCGTGAATTACTTCATCACGGAGGTTGTCCTCCTGGCGTGGGTGGTCGTGCGTGGTGAGTTCCAAGAAGAAGCACTTCATCGTCGACTGGTTGATTAGGAATCAGAAGTTGCTTTGTTGGAGGGCTCCGTGGTCTTGTTGCAGTGCTTCGTCATGGAATGCATCATTGTTGCGGTCGTCTTCTTGGAAGGCTTCATCGGGGAGGCCATCCTCTTGACCGCGCCAAAGTGAGATGTTTCGGTGGGGATAGATGTTCGCGGAATGCTTCATCGTGGAATGTTTCGTCTCGGAATGCCACGTTGCCGAGGCTGTCTTCGTAGAGGGCGTCATCAGGGAGTGCCCCATTAACCGGGAGTGCTCCATCTGGAATGGCGTCATCTCGGCGGTCGTGTTTCGTTGGGCTTTTCATCACGGGGATGGTCGTCTTGGAGTTGGACGTGGGCTGTTTCATCGCGGGGTACTTAATTATGGGGGGGCGTCGTCGCGAGGCTTGGAGTGTCTCATCGTGGAGTGCCTCATCGTCGGGTCCATCTTATGGGATTGCTTCATTGCGGAGGTCATCTTCATGGGGGGCTTCGTTGTAGTGTGCTTCGGAGGGCATCGCGACAGACTGCATAAAGGAAGAGGTTGCTTCGGAGAAGACTTCAGCATGCAGAGCTTCATCAGCGGAGAGCGTTCCATCCAGGAGTGCTTGTGGAGCCTGTCATCTCGGAAGCGTTGCTCGCGGAGTGCGTCATCGAAAATGCATGTGCAGTGCTTCATCGTGCTCGCTTTTGTCAAGGCGATGCGTTTCTGTGGGCACCATCTCCGTCCATTCCTCTGGGCCTGTATGCGCCAATGCGGTTCGCGACAGTGCCACTTCAACCGATCAAACACACGCGTCGGGGTGCAGCAATCCGTGTCTGGTCGAGCTAGGGACGGCGCGCGGCTCTGCAAGCCGTACGTCGTGCTTCCCTGCCAGAGCCCAGTCTTGTAGCATCTTGATATTGTGCTTCAACACACGACACCTGTAACCAACAACAACAATCATAATTCTAAGACTGTTCGCCCTTATATGCTCGACTGTCCAATAACGCGTACTTCCCAAACCCTCGATACCCGCCCTCTTCGTCTTCGATCGAACCCCTTTTGGGGGGTATACCTTTCTTCCCTGCAGGCCGGGCCCCGGCAAGCGGCGGAGCGGCCGCGGACCTTCGGCCTGGCCAGCGGCAGCGCTGATCGGCGGGGCGGCCGCGGACCGTCGACCCGACCCCAAGAGGGACGGACAGGGGACCGACCACGACGACGACGACGACGACGACGCCGACGACGACGACGACGACGTCGAAGACGACGGCGACGACGACGACGACGACGGCGACGACGAGCGAAAGCGAGAGCGAGAGAGAACGACAGCAGGGCCACGAAGGGCACGAAGTAGGCCACGAAGGGCGACAGCGGGGACACGAAGGGAATGCGTATGGGGCCACGAAGAGCGCGAACGAGCGGGGGCCACGAAGTGCAGATAATGCGGGGCCACAGAAGGCAACTATGGGGCCACTGAGGGTAGCAACTGGGCCACGTAGGACGGTGAGGGGGACACAAATGGCGACAGCGGGGCCACGAAGGGCATGCACATGGGGCCACAACGGGCGCGACTCCTGGGTGCCTGGGTGTCGGGAGCGCGGCGCCTGGGCAAATTGCAAGAAATTCCAACGCAAGGCCATTCTTCAGTAAGTTGCAAGCAAGTCTCCAGCGAGAGCGCGACTCCAGAGCGCCGGCAGAACGATTCCTGAATAAATTGTAAGGAAGTCCCAAGCGAGAGCGCGATTCCTGAATAAAATGCGAGGAGGTCTCGGGCGGGAGCGGGGGTTGGCTAAATTGTAAGGAAGTCTCCAGCGGGATCCGTTGTTGTTGTAACCCGGGGGCCAGGCAGGGGCCCAGTTTGAGCATGAAGACTTTCCCTGTCAAAAAAACAGGGTGCGAGCGTCGAGGGGCACACTTTGATTGAGAAAAACAATATGCACCGGTGGGGGGGTCAACAATAATTATTCTTCAGAAATGAGAATTCAACAACAACAACAACAACAACAACAACAACAACAATAATAACAAGAACAAGAAGAACAAGAAGAACAAGAACAACAACAATAGCGACAACAACAACAACAACAACAACAACAACAACAACAACAACAACAACCACAACCACAACAACAACAACATCAGTTCAAGACTGTTCGCTATCATCTGCTCCGTACCATTCATACCGCCGTCTTCGTCTTCGATCGTACCCCCATTTGGGCAGATCTTCCTTACCTGCCACGTGTAGTTGGCGCAGCCGCCTTTCAGGGGGAAGGAAGGGAGGAGGGAAGAGACAATGGAGACGGAAAAGGATGGAGCGCGAGAGAGATTTGCAAAGGGAGGGTTAGGAACAGGAGCACAAGTGGCAGCAACAAACGGGCGGGTCGGGCGGGCGGACCCTAACAGGCAGGTCGGGCGGGCAGGCCCAGACGGCCAGGTCGAGCGGGCGGGTCGCTGAAGCATTAATCCAATGTGAATGTTAAGGAAGCTTCGAGTCATAGCGTGATTACCAAGAAAATCATGAGGAAATCCGAAATGGAGAGCATGATTCCTGAGTGTTGGGGCCGCGGCGCTGCAATACATTGCAAGGAAGTGCCCAGCGAGAGCGCGATTCCTACATACAGTATGAGGAAGTCCCGCGCGAGGGCACGAGTTTGAAATAAACTGTGGAAAAATATCAAGCGGGAGCCGTTGTTGTTGTAGTTCGGGGGCCAGTGGCTCAATCTGAGACGCAAGACTTCTTCTGGTAAACAACAGGGTGCGAGCCACTGGCGATCACTGGAGGGATCAGCACTAATATTCCGTAGGAATGAGAACTCATCAACAACGATAAGTTTAGGACTGCTCGCTCTTACCTGCTCGCGTGCCAGTCAACACGCACATCCCAAACCACCGATACCCGCTGTTTTCGTCTTCGATCTTACCCCCGTTTGGGGCATATCTTCCTTACCTGCCACGTATAGTTGGCGCAGCCACTTTTCAGGGGGAAGGAAGGGAGGAGGGAAGAGACAAGGGGGAGGGAGAAGGATGGAGCGCGAGAGAGATTTGCAAAGGGAGGGTTAGGAGCAGGAGCACAAGCGGCAGAACCAGACGGGCGGGTCGGGCGGGCGGACCTTGACGGGCAGGTCGGGCGGGCCCAGACGGCCAGGTCGACAGGGCGGGTCGCTGAAGCGTCAATGCATCAGGAAGGAAGTTTCCAGCCATAGCTCGATTCCCAAGAAAATCGCGAGGAAATCCAAAGCGAGAGCGTCATTCGTGAGTCTTGGGGACACGGTGCCGCAATACATTGTGAGGAAATACCACGGAGAACTCGATTCCTCCATAAATTGTGACGGAATCCCGCACGAGAGCGCGAATCTGAAATAGATTGAAAGGAAGAAGAATCAGGCGGGAGCCGCTGTTGTTGTAAACCAGGGGCCAACAACCCAATTCGAGGACCAAGACATCCCCTGATAAAACACAGGGTGCGAGCACGTTGATGGAAAAACCAGGAGTTGCACCAGAGGGGGGTCAACCAAGTTGCAAGGGTAACCTTGGAAATGCGCTCATCCTTACTATGCAGGTTTGACTGCAGGATGCCCAACAGCGAATGTTGTCCAAAAACGACAGCGGCCGCTGTTGGGCCGGCGGCCTTCTGCCTCGAATGAACAACGCCCGCGGCGGCGCCCTCAAAATGAACAGGACATGCTGCCGGTCCTCATGCCCCTTCTTTCGAGGCCGCCTAGATGGGGTCGGAGTAGACGGGGGCCGCAGGATCGTGCCGCATCGCCAACACATCGGCGATGCATCGGCCATGCGCTGGCGACGCCAGCGATGCATCCGCGACGTCGGCGTGGAGGAGCACGGGCCCCACGTCGAGCCGCATCGTTGCTGCATCGGCCTTGCGGCGCGATCCTCAGACCCCGTCTGCTCCGACCCCGTCGGGGAGGCCTCGAGCCTCGACCCTGCCGAGGGGCGCGCTGGGCGCCGCGCCGGGCGCACGGCGTCCCTGGCCGGCGAGGCGCCCTCCGCAGCCGCGGCGCCCCCGGCCGGCGAGGCGCCTTCCGCCGCGGCTGCGTCGGCCGCCGAGGCGCCCGCGGTGCCTGCGGCGGGCGCGGGCGGGCGGGGGGGGGAGCATCAAGGGGGGGGGGAGGAGGAGGAGGAGGAGGAGGAGGAGGAGGAGGAGGAGGAGGAGGAGGAGGAGGAGGAGGAGGAGGAGGAGGAGGAGGAGGAGGAGGAGGAGGAGGAGGAGGAGGAGGAGGAGGAGGAGGAGGAGGAGGAGGAGGAGGAGGAGGAGGAGGAGGAGGGGGAGGGGGAGGAGGAGGAGGAGGAGGAGGAGGAGGAGGAGGAGGAGGAGGGGAGGAGGAGGAGGAGGAGGAGGAGGAGGAGGAGGAGGAGGAGGAGGAGGAGGAGGAGGAGGAGGAGGAGGAGGAGGAGGAGGAGGAGGAGGAGGAGGAGGAGGAGGAGGAGGAGGAGGAGGAGGAGGAGGAGGGGGAGACGGGGCAGAAGGAGGAGGGCCCAGGGTCAGGAACTGCCGCCCGCCTGCTTCGTCCCGCCTGCCCTGGCCTCCCGCCGGCGCGGTCGCCGTCGTCGGCTCTCTTCTCCTTCCACTCGACCCCCCCCCCCCAAGACGAAGCCGGGACGAGGACAGAATCAGGTGAGGATAGATCGAGAACCTCTGAGATCCAGCAGTTCTGAAGGATGCCTCGGGCGCCGCGGCCCCCTCAGAGCGTTCTGGAACGCCCTGAGAGCGTTATTGATCCTCGTCCTGGCCCCGCCCGACAGCCCCCCGTCGCCGCGCAGCCAGGAGACTGGGGCTTCGGTTAGGGACTGGGGTTCGGTTAGGGACCCTCCGTCATCCTGGAAGTTGGTTTGACGGGGAAAACGCGCCGTGGCCACCAATAGCTTCGCGCAGGAACAACCAGCGGGAGGAGGATGCAGATCAGCTCGAGGTTTGGAGGCAACTTCTGGGAGGCACTCGTAATCCGCCGAACCCCTTGCGGGGCCACCAGGCTGTAGGGCGAAGGTTTGCTATTCCCTGCATCAGTTGCAGTTTCCAATTTCCATTGTGATGGTTCTACTTTCTGCTTCCTACTGTTCATGTTTACTGAACGCGCGAGAGAGGGAAGCCGAAAAGCCGCACTGTACCACGCCTCTCTACGGGGTTCGCAGACTTCCTGGGGGCCGTGGGACACTCAAAAACACATAAGATTCGCGCCCCTGAGGCCATAAACCCTTGTAACTGACACCGTGCTCGCATCCCCGAGGCCAGAAACCCTCGTAAATCACTCGAGGCCATAAACCGTTGTAAATTCAAAGGTTCGCATCCCCGAAAGCACTTGTAAATTACGCAATGTTCGCGTCCCCGAAACTATTCAACCTTGTAATTACACAAGAGTCGCGCCCTCGAGACCATAGACCCTCGTACCTCCGTAAAATATACAATATTCGCGCCCCCGAAGCCATACAACCCCGTAAAGTACGCTATAGTTGCGTCCTCGAGGCCATAAACCCTCGTAAATTACGCGGTACTCGCGTCCTTGAAGCCATAGACAATCGTAAATAAATCAAAATTCGCGCCCCCGGTGCGATCAACCATCGAACAATATTCGCGTCCCCGGGGCCATAGACCATTGTAAATTACACGGCAGTCTCGCCTTCGAGGCTACGATCCCTCGTGCATTACCTCAGATTCTCGCCTTCGAGGCCGTGATCTGTGGTAAATTACACGGAATTCGCGCCGTCGACCGCCCCAAGACGGCCCAAGAAGCCTCCAGGAGAGCCTCAAGACGGCCCCAGAGGGCGCCAGGACAGCTCAGGAGTGAAGATGGCACCAAGAGAGGTCCAAAGCGGGACTACGAACCAAAGATTTGAGCTTTCAGCCCCGCGAGGACGAAAGAGGGCTCCAAGTGGCTGCCAAGCCGCCCCAACAGGCTTCCAAGAGGCATCCCACGAGGGCAGCCAAAGCCACGCGACGTTGCCCAACGTAGCCTCAGCCCCGAATCGCTGCTCCAATACATGGCACGAAAGGGAGCTCGAGAATAACAATACGGACTTCAACAATACGCTCTGAACCTGTGTCTGCCGCTTCCCAATCGCCCTCGCAGGAGGTTCCGACATTGTTTCGCAACGGCGCAGAGGAATTCCAGCACAGCCCTGACATGGCCCATTATCACAGAGGGGCGGCGGCAGGGAGCGAAGCCCTTACGGAGAACGACTTCCGCAGGCTGCTAAGCCTGATGTACGCTCCTCTGAACCGAACTAGCCCAGACTAAACCCAGCAAGCCAAGCCAGGCGGGACTAAGCGGGACCAGGCCAGATTTGGCATGTTCGAAGCCACGGAAATACCAGCGCCAATGCTGACCTTGACCTCCCAGGAGCAGCATCCTACAGTCGGGGCGTTGACCTAAAGCCAAAGTAAGGAACGAGGCCCTTTTTTTCCATAAGTCGAACTTCGATTTCGTATCGAAAACCTAAGGAAAACCTGAGGCAAGCTGCGAAACACTTGAGGAACGCGGAGCTCCTCCCCAACGAAAAGGATTCCTTCTTCAGGGCCCCGACTGTAGTAGAAGAGGGGAAGGGCCATCTGAAAAAGGAGGAGGCGCAGGTGGAGGGGGAGGATCGGCGGCGAGCCCAGGAGGGAAAGCGAGAAGGGGCGAACGAACGAACGAACGAACGAACAAGCCATACGCCAGTAGGCGCGTGGGCAAAAGCATGCGTCTAGCAAGCTCGGCGCGGGATCAAAGAAAATGCCGCGAGCAGCCAGATAAAGCACAAGAGGTAGAAGAAGAGGAGGAGGAGGAGGAGGAGGACGAAGGGGCCAGGAGAGCACCATGTACGGTGCTGCGTGCGTTTCCTGCCAGGGCGACCGGGCGACCGGCGAGAAGGGGCGGGCCTTCTGAAAAGGCTCAGAAGCCCCCTGGCCTCCTGGGAAGTGTCTAGGCCTCCCCCGAGGACAGAAAAAAATGCATCCGAGGGCGCGAGGACTTCTGAGAAGCCACGCCGCCGTCTGAGGAGGTCGCCTCCCTCTCGCTTCCCCCCCTCGCCCGCCGCCACGAGGAGGGGACCGGCTGGACGGGAATCGGGCGAGGAGGCTATCCAGGACCAGCGGGATCCGCAGTGCCCGAGCAGGCGCCTGGTCGCAGGGAGGCGCTCCCGAGCCGCGCTCACTTGGACTCCAAGGTGCCAAGGCCCGCGATGGGCCCACATGGGCCAACATGCCGAATGCGTCGATCAGCGAGGAGCGGCCGACAGTCGCCGCTCCCCACACGTGCGCACCACGGGGTTGGGGGATTTTCTCTTGTGCGACGAAGGTGTGTGGTGTGTATGATGTGTGGGTCGGATGCATGTTCCGATACCCCCTGCAGTGAACGCGGGGGCACACAAAGGGGGCAAAAGCGGGCCAACGAGCCAAAGCAATGCGGGCTGGCACCACGCCGGCTCCCCCGAGCAGGCTTCCAGTATCGGCCGTGGCGGCCCTTGCTGGGCAAGGGGGGCAAAGGTGGGGCTTGTACGAAAACCACAGGGGAAGGAAGACGAAGAGGAGGGGGAGGAGGAGGAACAGCAGGAGAAGGAGGAACAGGAGGAGGAGGAGGAGGAGGAGAAGATCAAAGCAAACCGTCCGCCTCCCCATCCTGGGCAGAAAGAAGGATGGAGGGAGGCAGGCAGGCACGGGGGCCAAAATGCAGGGGGGATAATAAAAAAAATTGGGAAAGGAGGAGAAACACAAGCATAGATAAGCAAACTGGCGAATCCGCCGCACGACGAACCCAAAACAGTACGCAACTGGAAGCTCCACCTACACCAGGCCGTCCCCACGCGATCCGGGTGCACGTCTGCATTGTGGTTGGTGGCGTTATGCCCCAGCCATCTTGCATTACGCGCCTGCGTGCAAGCCTGCTCCCGATACACCATGAACGCTCGCGCCTGACAAACCAATCCTGTTGCGTCGCTCGCGATGATCGTGGCCCACTCGTTGCATCGCGCACTGACAGGGACCTGCTGCCACAGCAAGAATTCGCACACCAGCAACCAAGCTGCCAATGTCACTATTCTCCCCCGACCCACCCGAAGCATGGTGGCTGATGATGCGCGCTGGTGCGGCGCCGCGGGGCACCGACAAACATTTTTGCAACTGCCGACCCTCTCGCGCTTCATGGCCCCAAAACTGCATGTGAAAGCTTGAACATGCTAAAACAATGGTCGCCGCTGGGCCGCGGCAGCAGTTGCTGCCCACGCGTAGTATACAGTGTTGATTTCATGTTCTGCCTTCGGGCGCCGACAACGGCGACTGCCACTGCCTGCCTGGTCGCACTGGGAAAAGTCCATGCTGCCAACGCCTGCCCCCATCGCGAAGTCTGGCCCCCGCATGGTGGCTGACGATGCTGGGCCGTCGCTTCGCCCCTGCGCACCGCCAAAACAGTTTGCCACGTGCCTACATCCGGTGCTGTGGCCGTGGGAGCTGCGGTCCGTCAGCCCGCGCAAGCTGACCATTGCGCGAGCTCTACTTTGCAGCAGCAGCGCCACGAGGGCGGACGCCAATGCTCGGCAGCGTGTCATCGCTCGGACGTCCATTCCCCGTGCGTGTGTTGTGCCGTGCGCTGTATGTTTCGTTCGATGATCTCAGATCCTCCAGGGCAGTTATGACTTTCGTTTCGCCGACGGAAACATCCAGGCGCCCGAGCGAAGCCGAGGGTTTTTTGAGGCAGCGGGCGCAAGCGGGTCCAAGCTGGTCAGGCGCCAACAGGGCTAAGGGCGGGATACTTGTCAGTCCACGGGCGCCAAGTGGACGAGGGCGGCGGCACGGACGGGGCAAAGGGGGAGAGGGGGGGAGGGGGAGGAAACCCAAGGAGGGTATATGTTTCTCAGCCGCTGCGTGGAGGCTCGGGCACCTGATGCTGGAGGCTGGCCAGCTTGAGGCCAGCGTGGCTCAGATAGGAAATGGTGCCAAACAGTGGGCACCAATTCATTGACAGTGCAGCTTGTATGAAGCCTGCGCCTCAGGCTCTGGCCCAGCCCGAAACTGCCACGCACAAGCCCCCAACCCCGAAGACGCAAAGAGAATATGAACATGAACTTCCAACGGTCCGCGAGAATGTCTTGGATCTGCGCTGGACCCCCTCCCTTGCGCGCGGAGCGTGCCAGGGGCGGCGCTGGAGGCGCCGCCGAGGGGGTCCCAGCGCAGATCCAAGAAATTCGCCCGAAGCACCGAAAGTGTATGGTTATGCTATGTGTGTCGTTTTCTTGTCTTTCCATCGGATATGATATCAACGACACGGATACTCCCCAGCCCCCTCCCCCTCTGGGATACGCTTCGATGAGGATCCCGAGGCGAACCCAACATTTGAGACAAACCCCCAGGCGATAACGAGGGACGGGCGTCAGTATCAGCACGGTCGCCTCCTGCGAAGTGCGAGGGGCTCGAAGTATTCTCCAAGCCACCTGGTCGGCCCAAAAAGTAGGTCGGTGAATCGACGCCCCGGCTTCCCAGCCTGTGGGATGCTGAAGCGTCTATGCACCGAGTCCCTTCGCCGAACTCTTTGGCTCCGTGGCCGCACAAGCGACGTTTCGTATACATCTCCGGCCGCACAACAAGAGAGGGTAGCCAAGGCGGGGTTAGCGAATCGGCTCGCATAGCTGACTTCTCCAGAGCCTCGTGGCGCCAGAGGCGCCATGGCATCGAGGAAAGCACCCAGTGGCGGAGCCGAAACCTGCTGCACGCAGCAGAGTTCGCTCTCCCCCCATTTCCCTATCCACCACCTTCGTCCCAGTCGAACACCGAGCCCCTCCAACGCGAAAGGATGGAGGGCCGCTGGTGCCAGAGTGGCCTTGCAGGGCCAAGAGATCGGATATCTTGATGTGTTCCATACGGAGTCCCAGGCAGTCTGGACCCTCCCCAGGTCCGGCTCGGCGTGGCGCGTCGTTCTTTGGGCGGCCCCTGGGCCTGGCGAGGACCCCCAGGTGCCGAATTCAAAGACAAACCTCCGTGTTTTTTTTCAATACGTGGAACGTCTGGGCTCCGCTGCCAAAAGGTACCGACCCCGCTGCTCCCCAGACTTCTTCCAGGGGGTGCTTCCTGGCCAGAATTCTGAAGCGAATCCAGCGAGGGCGACGAGGGCCTCCCAGGGCCTCCCAGGGCCTCCCAGGAGGCCCATCAGAAGAGCACAAGGCGAGACAAGGGGAACGAAAAGCCTCCGCCCTGATGTTGTCCATGCACGTCGGTCGGAAGAAGTAGGTAAAAGCACGAAGTAGGAAGGCAGAAAAAGTAGGTTGGGTGCAGGCCCCCCCCCCGAAAATTCGGCGGCCCAACGGGCCAGAGGCGTGCTAAGATGTCCGGCTACTGGTAAACAATACTTCTAGTTCGCGCGCGCGGGGCGGCTCCTGGGGGTCCCTGGGCAAAAAGTACCCCGGGCGGTCCGCCCCAGAGATGATGTTTCCTTCTGGGCGCGGCTTTCAGGCGCCCCAGAACGCTCCTAGCGGGCCCCAAGAGTCCCCAAGACGGTCAAAGAGGGCTCCGAGTCGCCGACCGATCGGTCCAAGACGCCCAAGATAGCCTCCAAACGGCCGCAGACGCCCCCAAGACGCCCAAAGAGGCCTCGAAGAAGCGTCTCAAGAGGGCCCCAGGAGGCAAAACCCATCGATTCCTCTTTGGTTTTTGAAGGATCTTGGCGTTCTCATCTGTTCTGCTTCCCGACGCTCAAAGACGACCCAGGAGGCCCCAAATATCGCCCCAAGACGGCCCGAGAGGCCTCTAAGAGAGCCCCAAGAGAACCCAAGAGGGCCCAAAGACGGCCCGAGAGGCCTCCAAGACGGCCCAAGATATCCCCAGGACGGCCCCAAGAGGGGGCCAGACGGGGAACCCGAACGGACATTTCGAGCCCTCCGCCCCAAGAGGCACCCAGGAGGCCCCAAGAAGCCCCCAAGAGCCCCCCGAGAGGCTCCAGGAGGCCGCCAAGAGCATCCAAGAGAACCCCACAAGAGGCGCCCAAGACGCCCCTGGAAGCCCCAAAGAGGCTCCCAAACGCAATATGGGCCGGCGGAATGAGCGAAGCGACTCAATGACAAAACACAGCAAAAGCGAATATCGATTCTTGAAGTAGGAAGGCGCTAGAAGTAGATCGAGATCTGGGAATCCAAGATCGGCGTCGAGCCTGGGGGGGAAGTGAGAAGGGGCGGGCCTTCTCAGAAGGCTCGGAAGTCCCCGAGACTCCTGCGAAGTTGCCCAAGCCTCTCCCGAAGACACCGAGAGCTCCTCAGAGGGCGCGAGGGCTGCTGAGAAGCCCGGCCGCCCTCCGAGGAGGACTTCTCCTCCTCCTCCCCCCTCCCCTCCCTCGCCGCCGACACCAAAAAGAGAGCAACTGCCCACGTCCGACGACCGACGTGCCCCCCCGCGGGAGGCCCCGGGGCGCCTGCCCGCTGCACCCGCACGAGGGGGAGGCTCTCCCCGACGTGCCGCAGGAGCCACACGAGGAAGACCGTCACGGGGGCCAGGGCCCGGGTGGCGAGCAGCGCCTCGGCGCGGCGAGGGCCGCGGCGGCGCCGCCCCCCCCCCCCCCCGCCGCCGCCGCGCCCGCTCGAGGCGCCACGAACCTCGGGGCCGCAGGGCCGCACCGGCGACGCGCTGCCGGTTTCCGTGTGCCGTGCAGGCTCGGGGGGGCGACCCCGTGGCAGGCTCGAGAGGAGGGAAGGCGAGGGCAGCGGGGGAGGGGAGCGCAAGACGAGCAGCAGCAGCAGCAGCAGCAGCAGCAGCAGCAAGAAGCAGGAAGCAGTGCAGCAGCAAGCAGTGCAGCGGCAGAAGTGGTGGCACACCGCGCGGTGCTATCGCAAAATCCCAAGAGGCCTCACCGCGCGGTCTTGGGGCCTCGGAGGCCCCAGCCGCCCGATACGTCCTCGGAGAACGACCCGAGTCCAAAAGACCGCGCGGTGACGCCGAACCCCCACCGCCTCACCACGCGGTGTGGTCACCACACCGACTGTGGGGAAACTCGAAGGTACCGATACCGCTACTCCCCAGAACTTTCCCGTGATGCGTTCTGACCAGGATGTCGAGGCGAATCCTATGGTGGCAACAAGGGCCTCCAAGGAGGGCCTAAAAGGCGAAAACTATGAAATTCGGAGCCTGGGGGCCTCCGAATTCTGCACGCGAACGGCGAACAGCCGTCAACGCCAGGGGAGGGCGGAACCCCAAGGCAGGCGGGATGGCTAGGGGGGAGGGGGGGGGGCCACGCGAGCGAGCGGGCGCGGGAAGGCGGTCCGACTGGACCAGCCCTAAGACTGGCGAGACGTTCAGTCGGGGTTGATTAATGAGGACACGCGAGAGGACACAAGACCCTTCCGAGGGCCACATTGCCATAGGAATGTAAGAAGGCACTGGTCGCGAAGCTCAGGACACAAGGGTACCCTCGATTTGGCAGGGTCGACCTACTACTTAGTCTCGACTGTACGGCTCGGGTTCCCGGGGACTCGATGAGGACTGGTGAACCGCTGCGAGGAGCCTCGTGCGAGAAGCAATGATCGCGATCTGCGGCAACTCTTGCTCGAGGTCCTGCTAGGACCTCACAAGCCAAAACGTACAGGAACAATATAATGTGGGAGGGAAGGAGGGAGGAAGGAGAGGAGAGGAGAAGGCAGGCGAGGCACGCCCGAGATGGGCACGAACAAAAGATGTGCTTCGCCAGTTTGCTCGTGCCCGTCTCGATCGCACTGGCTGACCCCTTCACCCGGCGAGGGCCAGGAGGGGTGGACAGCCCAGGGCGGGCGCTGCGCGCACCCGCCGAGAAGCCCTCGCCGAACGCGTGGGCGATCGGAGCCTCGGGACGAGTGTGATGCCCGTCACCGCAGTGCCGGGGAGGATTGAGACTCGAGCTCCAGGGGACTCGGGTCGGCCTGACGGGGCCGTCGGGAAAATCGAGGCCCAGTCTGAAATCTGACGCTCCCGCTGCAAACATCCTACGGAGACTGGACCGTGAAAATCCAGCACGAGTTTGCCAAAAAGCGCTGGCAAACCCGAAGCCTGGCGCTCTCGAGTCGTACGTTTTCCCGACACTGGCTGGCTCCGGGCACAGGGGGTCGTTCGCAACGGGGTCGAGCAAAAATGCAACAGCTCATCCTGTGGCTCATGGCAAGCGACCTCTCTCAAGGACCAGCGATGCCAAATGCAACGCACTCTGCCCGCACCCAGCACGATCCAGCTCGAGACCCACTGTTGCAGAGCCCGAACCTGGCCTGGGCTGTCCGCCCCTGGCAGCAGCCGCCCAATGCGCCCGCGTGGAGCCCTGGACCAGGGCCGGGCGCAGCTCTCTCCTCCCGAGTCGCCATGTCTGCGGACGTGCGGGCCCAAAGAACTTACACCACCACCACCACCACCACCACCAATACCACCACCACCACCACCACCACCACCACATCCTCCCTCCTCCACCCTCCTCTTCCCCTTGTCTTTCCCGGGAGGAGGGAGGGGGTGAGGGACCCGGTGATGGTGTATACTCTTGGGCGCCGTGCTGACGGCCCCGTACGAGGCCTCGGGGGCACGGCGGACAGGGGAGGGGCTGCCGGCGGGCAGGGGGAACAAAAACGGCATCGGCATGTATCTCTGCCAGCCTAGGCCCCGAGCAGCAAGTGACTGCACTGTGGATGTGTGAGCTACGTGGTGGAAGCTAGCAGCCTAGGTGGCGCAAGCTGCGTGCTGCAGGCTGTGTGATGCAAGCCGCGTGGTGTGCAAGCGAGGTGGTGTGAGCAGTGCGGCGAAGGCTGTGAGGTCAAAGCTACGCGGTGCAAGCTGCGCGGTGCAACCTGCGTGGTGCAAGCTGTGTGGCACAGGCTGCAAGCCCTGAGGCCGCCCAGCGCACGAGGCGCCCACGAGGCGCCCACGAGGCGCCCACGGGCACACACCACACGACGGGGCACCGACCGGGCACCCGGGCGAACCCTCGACGGGCAGACCAAGCGCCCGGGGCGCACACCGGGCGCCCACGACCGGGCACCAGCCGGTCACCCAGCCGGTCACCCATCGAAACCCTCGACACACCAGCGCAGCGCACGGCGCGCCATGATCGGGGACGGCCAAGCGGGGGGCGTCCAAGAGGGGGGGGCGCAAATCATGGCCGGCGGCATGTGGGCGGCCCAGCGGGGGGGGCCGGGAACGTAATGAAACAGGAAGAGGCGCCATGAAATCTGGGAAAAATCATCGCCCCTGTCTTGAGATCAACCCCCCCCTAACCATCACCCCCCTCTTTGCCGCCCCCGACATGAAACGCCCGCGACCGGGCACGCACCGGGCACCAGGCGAGCCCTCGACAAACCAATTTGGCGCACGGGGCGCCCACGAGGCGCTCGCGACCGGGCACCAGGCGAGTCCTCGACAGACCCACGCAGCTCCTTCGGCACTAGAAGGACCCCTGCGTGCACGCACTGTTGCGGGAAGAAGTCTTCGGAGCTCTGCGCGGACTCCCTTGTGACAGCGCCTGGCCCCCCCTGGCGGCCGCCCCTGGCGCGCCTCGAGGGGGCTCCAGCCGCCGATCCGAGAAATCTGCGAGGGTTCTTTCGTGATTACTCGTTGTTGTTCTTCTTCGAGAAAGGGTCCTGGCATCGGTGTGGGTTCCTCCTCTGACCGGCCCCCTCCTCCTGCCCCGAGCCTCGTAGATCGGAGTCGTCCCGCACAGCCACCAGAGCACCTCCCACCTGGGGGCAGCGCAGGGGTCGGCTAGCCCACCCCCGGGTGCCTGAGAGGCCAGGGGGCGCAGGAGCAACCTGGCAAACCAGAAGCTGGGAGGCAACTTCTGGGAGGTCTTCGCGGGAACGGCTTACGGACTGTGAAGCCAGAGCAGATTGCTATCGAGCCAGTGCGAACCAGGTTGAGCCCAGAATCTAAGCCCAGCTATGCCAAATCAGGCTGGAGTAAGACGGACTGAGCGGCACTGGGCAAGATCCTGGCGGCTTTCGACTGCGGATGTACCAGCGCCGGCTCAGATGTTCAAACTCCCAGGAATTGCATCCCAACACGTGCAAACAAAGATCGATCTCTGGTTCTGGCCCGGGAGAGGTCTGCCTGGATGACTCCCGGTGGCCGAACGACCACGGCAAGAGGTGCCGGGGAGGGGGTGGGACGGCGATCTGCCCTGCCGGCCCCGGACGTCAAGAGGGCGGAAAAATGTCGCCAGCTTCACCGACTGTTCTGGCTCCGATGGGGGGGGGGACAGGGGGCGGAGCGGAAGGAGGAGCAGGGGAGGGGAAGGGGAGTATGTCTGGGAAGGAGGGGGAGGGAGGGGGGAAGCGGAGGGGAATGGGGAAGGGGAGCGAAGGGGTGAGGAGTGGGCGAGGGAGGACAGGAGCGGGAAGGAAACGTGAGGAAAGGCTCCAGCTCGGAAGGCATGATGATGCACGCGTGCTCGCATGTACGCGCCATGACTGCACGAGTGGGTACACGCACAAACTCACGGTTGTCGAGCGCCGTCCGTCCAGAATCGTCCTCCAAGGCACCACGCACCGACTTCGCGAGCTGAAGCCGCGGCATTGGTTTCGAAGCTGCGGCCCCAGCTTGCTCTGTTGATAGTAGATGCGGCCACCTTCCGAAACATAGGGGGTAAACAAAGAAACACACAAGCAAACACAAACAACCACAACAACCACAACAACAACAACAACAACAACAACAACAACAACAACCACAACAACAACAAAAACAACAAAAACAGCAGCAGCAGCAGCAGTAACAACAACAACAACAACAACACCAACAACAACAACAACAACAACAACAATCACAATATCCACAAGAACAACAACAACAACAACAACAACAACAACAACAAACAACAAACAACAAACAACAACAACAACAACAACAACAACAACAACAACAACAACAGCAGCAGCAGCAGCAGCAACAACAACAACAGCCACAACAACAACAGCAACCACAACAACCACAAGAACAAGAACCATAACAAGAACAATAACAAGAACAACAACAACAACAACAACAATCATTTTACCCGAACGCGTGGTGTTCTCCCCAGTGCCAGGGTTTTCATACGACACCAGGCAATACCCCCACTTCGTGGGGGGGCATTACAAGCTCTACCAAATATCCAAACGACTCTTCGCGACCACCCAAACCCAGCTTCCCGCCCTATGACGTTGGGACACTTCACTTCGTGGCGTGCGGACGACCGTGGCTACTACACTGGCGTGGGGTACACACCCACAGAACCCAATGGTTTTTGGAGATTTCGGCGTGCGCGCGCGAAGAAAAAACGAATGTGTCCCGCATGGTATTATTTGACAGGGATGATGGCCCTGGCAGGTGCGCAACCGTTGTCGCAGAAGTTCGAAAAAGTTGCTCGCAAAAGCCCGTTTGACAGAAATGTTTAAAAAGTGTTGGGTTTCCTACGAATCCGCAAGAGCGCGCGGGATGAGATTTTGACATTTTTTTGTTGAAAAACCATTGGTTTTTTGATGTTTTTATGTTAAAATCGCTCCGAACACTAAGCTTTTGGAAGGATTTCGTCTTGCGCGCGCGAATGTCCACTTTACCTTATTTTTTGCAAGGGATTCTTGAAATTTGATTATATTAGAACAAGAAATGTCATTTTATAGTGTTTTTTGCAAGGGAAAAGCGGATTACAACAAAACAACCGGATCTTGATCACCTCGAATTACCTGAGGCTTCCTCACGAAAATGATGAAAACGTGGCTGCGGCCTAGGCGCGGCGGGGGGGGCGCGCACCAGGGGGCCCAACAATAATTATTCTTTAGAATTAATAATGTTCAACAACAACAACAACAACAACAACAACAACAACAACAACAACAACAACAACAAAACTGCAAAAACAGCAGCAGCAGAAGCAGCAGCAGCAGCAACAACAACAATAAGAGTCAGGGGATCCCTCCAGAACGCCATCCGAACCAATTCCCCGAGCTGCGTCCAGCGGTGCGTCAGCGACCGGCCCAAAGCCAGCGGGCTGCCGGACACGGCCACGTGCGCTCTGCCGCTTTGCCCGCCAGCCGCCTGCCGTGCGGCGGCGGCGGCGGCGGCGGCCCCCCGACCTCTGTCAGCTCCTGCGGAGGGGCGCAGGGAAGGGGCGTGCCCCTCCGTCCTCTTGACACCCCTCTCGGAGCAAGACACGGGGAATTCAAAACCGGTCCCCAGACCCCTCCTGGGATCCAAACGTACCAGGCTTCCGCGCTGCGCCCGGCCGTGGCGACGAGGGGCGCCCCCGAAGGCCAACTGCCAGTGTCTCAAAAACGGCCCTCCTCTGACCATCCCACCCCTCCTCTGGGGGAGCCAAAATGGACCGATACCGCTACTCCCCGGACCTATCCCGGGGTGCGTTCTGACCAGACCTTCGAGGCGAATCCAGCGGTGGCGACGACGGAGGCCCAGGAGGCCCGAAAAGGGGGAAACGGGCGCATGGTAGAGGTATGGGTACCTCCTCCTCCTCCTCCGATCCTCCTACGCGCGCCCTCCGCAGCCGTTTTGGCTCGAGCCAAGTCGGACCACGCTCGAATCGCTTTTTTTCCCAGGCACACACCTCTGAGAGGTCGCTCGGCCGCGGTCCAGCGCCGTACACCAGGCGCAGGGCGGCCACGCGGGGCGGCAGGGGCGGGGCCGGGGCAGGCGCGGGCCCGGCGCCGCCCCGCCTGTCCCGCGGGCCACGGCGGACCCCCGGGCGCCCGCCCCTGCAGCCGCTGCGGCACGCAACGGGCGCTGAGCCCCGCCCGCCGTGGCCGCTGCGCGACTGCCGCTGCGGCCAGGGCAGCACGCCCACCGGGCGCTTGCGTGCGGGCCGCTGTCGGGCTGCCTCGCCCTCGTCATCCTCGCTAGGGGGCCACAGGCGAGCCCTACCCCCCTGCCCCCCACGATTCCTGAGGGGGAGGGTGGGGTTCACTTCGCTCGGGAGCTCCCCAGCGAAACGAACCCCACCCTCCCCGTTAGAAATCGTGGGGGGGGGGGTAGTAGGGTTCGCATGTGGCCCCCTGCTCATGACGGTGACGGTGACGGTCAGTTGGCCCCCCCCGACCACGACCCCGTGAGCGGGCCCTACTGTCGGACCTAAGGACTCTGTTGTGCTGACCGAAGATGAACTCTGGCATTCCCCCACTCTTGGCGAATGGAGGTGGAAAGTTTGCAACACGTACGCCAAGACCCCGTCGTCCATTTTGCAGTTGCACACGGGCAGCCGCAGGAAGTGCGGCACCTCCCCCGTACCAGGCGTGGTTCGCCCTGCGTGAATCCGAGAGCGTCCCTCACTCGTCGTCTGTGGTGTCTGTGGCCCTGGAGGCTGCTGAGCGGGTCCTGGGGCCCGTTCCCGTCGGTGAAGAGACACCCCCGACCGAAGTTCTCACTGCGGTATAGTGCGCTCGGCCACAACATGCAGCGGGTGGGTAGAGTGCTTGCCTGTGCGACGTGCTCGGCCCGCGCGATCCTTCCAAGTGGGACCTTGCTCGGACTCGAATGTCTACATAGTCAACCCACCCCTCCACTCGCAGCTCTCAGGCAACCAAGGTCAAATATGCTGCGTTGGGGAGGCACCCGGGGCGGCTCTCGACCCTGTATGATGTACTGCGGGGGAGTGGCCTGTCGGGTGGCGGTACCCTACTGACTGGTAGGGTAGGCCGTCGCCTCAAAATTGCTGGTGACCACCTCCCTTTCAGATCACCTGCCCTCGCAAGCTTCATGCCGTGACGACCTCGGCGCTGCCGAGTATACTAGCGTGCGCTTCCGTCGGATCGGCTGCGCATCTTCTGCGCGTCCCTCCACCTCCGACAACTATAAACACCACACTCTCTGAGCTCCACGCGCCGCGAGCAAGGGGAAAGGGTCGCCCTCCGCCTCGTCCTCCCTCTCCAGCTCCAACTCCTCATCCTCCTCCTCCTACTCCTCCTCCTTCTCATCCTCCTGCTGCTCCTCCTCCTCCTCGGCATCCTCCTCATCTTCCTCCTCGGCATCATCCTCCTCATTATCGGACTCACCATCACCATCCTCATCGCCATCATCATCATCAGCATCATCATCATCATCAGCATCATCATCATCAGCAGCAGCATCATCATAATCAGCATCCTCACCATCATAATCACCATCATCATCAGCAGCATCATCATCAGCATTAGGATCAACAGTAGTATCAGTATCATCATCATTATCATCGGCACCATAATCATCATTATGCTCATTGCTGTCATCGTCAGCACCATACTCATCAACAGCATCAGCAGCATCATCATCAGCATCATCATCAGTATCATCACCAGTAGCAGCATCATCATCGTCGCCGTGGTAATCATCAGGATCATCATCCGCAGCAGCATCATCAGCATCAGCAGCATCATCAGCATCATCAGCATCATCATCGTCAGCATCAGCGTCATTATCAACATCAGCAGATTCATCATCACCATCATCATCATCACCAGCATCATCATCATCATCATCATCAGCAGCAGCAGCATCATCACCATGAGAATCACCGTCATCATCATCGACGTAATTCCAAGCGTGGGCATCAACACCATCTTCGTCATGCCCCTCACAGTCCTCACTAGCATCCGAATCAGCATCAGCATCATCAGCACCATCAGCATCATCAGCATCATCATCGTCATCATCTTCTCCATGAGCATCATCATCATCAGCAGCAGCATCATCAGCATCATCAGCATCATCAGCATCATCATCGTCATCATCATCTTCTCCATGAGCATCATCAGCATCATCATCATCATCATCATCAGCAGCAGCATCATCATCATCATAATCCTCATCAGCAGCATCATCAGCAGCAGCATAATCAACCTCATCAGCCTCATCATCATCACCAGCACCGTCATCAGCATCGACATAGTAAGGTTCAGAATCACCATCAGCATCAGCATCTTCGTCATCATCATCGGCATCGTCGTCATCAGCATCGTCATCATCGTCATCATCAGTATCCAAATCATCAACCTCATCATCATCAGCAGCAGCATCATCAGCATCATCCGCATCGTCATCATCATCAGCATGTGCATGATAGTAATCCTCATCAGCAGCATCATCATCATCATCAGCATCATCGTCATCATCATCATCATCAGCATCATCATCGTCATCATCATATTCGTCATCAGTATCATCCTCATCGTTCTCGCCATCAGCATCCTCATCCGCCTCATCCTCATTATCATCAGCAGCAGCCTCATCATCATCATCAGCAGCAGCAGAAGCATCCTCATCGTCGTCATCATCGTCATCATCAGTATCATCATCAACATGATCATCAGCATCATCAGCATCATCAGCATCGGCATCACAACCAGCAACGTCATCAGCATCGACATCATCATCATCATCATCATCATCATCAGCAGCAGCAGCAGCATCATCGACATTATCGGCATCAGTACATCATCATCATCAGCAGCAGCAGAAGCATCCTCATCAGCACCATCATCATAGTCATCATCACCCTCATACTCATCCTCACCCTCATCATCAGCATCCTCATCAGGCCCCTCACAGCAGCATCAGCATCATCACCATTCTCCTCACCACCACCATCATCATCATGAGCACCATCACCACCACCACCATCATCATCATCAGCATCATCATCATATCCTCATCCACCTCATCATTATCACCACCATCATCATCATCATCATCATCATCATCATCATCATCATCATCATCATCATCCTCCTCTTCCCCTTTATCCTCCACCTCGTCGTCGTCGTCGGCGTCTTCGTCGTCCTGGTCCTCGTCGTCGTCCTCCCACGGGGAGGGGCCCGGGGGGGCTCTCCCTGGGAGGCGTGCCCGGCTTGCTCGCGCCGGCGGGCAGCTCGGGAGGGCCGTCGCACCAGCGGACGAGCTCCTCTCGGAGGCGGAGGCAGAGGAGGAGGAGGAGGAGGAGGTAGAGGAGGAGAGGAGGTAGGGGAGGAGGAGGAGGAGAAGGAAGAGGAGGAGGAGGAGGACCATCGCACGGCTTCGGAAAGGGCTCGACTGCGCTACGGCGACTCGAGCGCTGCCTGTCGGGCAACCTCCGCAATCGGAGTAGGAGGGCTGAAAACAGTGGGGTTCTGATTTAAGGACCTCGGGTGCCGCCCTTCCATGAGCCGCTCGTAAGCGCTAAAAGTTAGAACTAAATTTATTGAGGCAACCCTTGTCGATGCCTTACAATGTATATTCTAAATAGTTGTTACACTGCTTACATGCAACAATGTAACATATCGAAAACCAGGAGCACGTGTCCGTTGGGATGGAGCACTAGCTTGGCCAAGGCAGCAGCATTCCCAAGGCAGCACTCCCGATCCTGTTCAGTCTTATCATTCAGGCATCGCGAGTGGCAGAGACAGCAGAGCCAACGAGCTTTCTGCCAAGTCCAAGCGCGCTCGACCTGAGCACGCGCCACCGGAGGAGGACGGGGAGGGGGAGAGGACGGGGAGGGGGAGGGGTTGCAGCGGCCCCTGGGCCCGAGCCAGGACCCCCCGGGTTAGGCTACACTTTGCCACACTTCCGCGATGGAGCTGGCTCGAACCGCCGGGTTGGTGGCCTGCACGGGGGCTTCCAAGCCTTTCCCGCCGACCCTCGGGGCGATGGCGGGCCACAAAGCCAGAGCCTTCGGCACATGCCGAAAGAAACGTTGTATTATCTTGCCCAGCAGCTGCTGGGTTTCCCTCTCACCTTGCGAGGGCTGGGGCAGTCGAGAGGCAGCTAGCTTGGCAATTCGGTCTGCAGCATCGTTCCCAGAAGCGTGCCTCCACTCTTCAGAGTAGCGCTCTGGGACTCTAGGTTCTGGCGGGCCTTGACTTTGACAACTTCGAAACCCTCGTCACGACTGGCCCCTCCAAGCGTGGCCATGGAGCCAAGCCCGTCAAACAGATTCTTCCTACTAGCTGGTATGCCCGAGTTGTGACAATGGCCCGACACCTTTGAAATCAGAGTATGCCTTGGTCAATCCTCTGTACTGGCTACTGGCTAGGTACGTTAAGCATTCAGCTGCTGGGGATGTGGGCGGCAGGGCTCTACCTACTGGCCAACAGAGGTGTTCTACTACATCCCCATGCGCATCGTACTTAACAATTGTCCAACCCTCGGACCCGAAGAGCGGGAGGCTCGGGAAAACCAGCACAGGTGACAAAAGCTAGGGGCTCATTCGGGTCTTCGACATCTCCTTCCTCAAGACCTTCCTCCCTAAGTTTTGCACTGATGGGACCCTCCAGAAGCTTGTCGAAGATATGATCCTTGGGGGCCCCGCGTATGCAGGTAGTGTCCGTGTCATACCCTGCATATTTGAGCCTGCACTTGCTCCAGATCGACTGGGACAGCTAAGAAACGAGGAAGCTGCGGTCCTGCTTGGTCATAGTTTGTTTGCTAGCGCTGCTTGAGCATGCGACAAGTCAACTGCATCAACTCCAATGTTTACAGCAGCCTGGTCTGCCAGCATTCGTCGAAGAAGGGCAGGCGAGGTGGTTATGGGCGGGTAGGCGTCAACGTTCCTGCTGATGACCATCATCGGGCTGGTCAACGACCGTCCGACTCTGGGCAAACTCAAATATACTGCTCCAAGACGACCCCTGATGTGACCCCATCCCAATAGAGGAAATCCAGCACCTGGTCTCGAGTGAGGGCCGACACGTTTCCCTCCAAACATGTAGCCAAGTACGATGGCGACACTTGAACACCGATTCTGGCGAGTCTTGGCATTATGATCCCGAGGTTCCCCTGGACAGCCAAGAAGCAAAGCCCACTACAATGCTGACACCTTCAGGCGCCGCGCGCCCATTCAGTGCTGTGACGGCCAGGCGCAGGAACGATGGAAACTCGCCTGACTCTGGTGCGGGGGCCTGGGGTTCTGGCACCCTTGGGGCGCCCCGTGGTGTCTGCAAAGGTCCGAGGAGGAGAAGAAGAAGGGGGAGCTACAGGTACAGCCGGACCTGGGACAGAAGAACATTCTTCAAACACTTGAGCCCCTCCGCCGGCCAAGCCACACGGAACAGCCAAGGGCACCCTCCCCAGGACGCACAAGAACATCCAACAAACTTTTGCGTCGGCGGCTAGGGGGACGTCTGCGCTGGCGATGGGATGCCTAAACGGGGGTGCCGTTAGAGCGAAGTGTGCCACCATGCAGGAGGAGGAGCGGGGGGAGGGCGCTGCCGAAAGAGGGGAGGACGGAGCGATCGAACATCCAACAAGCACGAAGAACATCAGGGTACCCCGAGGGTGCCCCTCCAGAGCAAGGGTTGCTCTTATCGGCGGCGAGCGTGGGGGGGGAAGCGAGAAGGAGAAGGCCTTCTCGGAAGGCGGCGGCACTCCTCTCACAAGCTCTTACTCCATTCCGAGAAGTGCTCTGCGTCTTCGACGAACGCTCAGGAGACTTCTCAGAGGGCCAGGGGACTTCCGAGCCTTCTGAGCAGGCCCGCCCCTTCTCCCTTCCCCTCCGCCCCCTACCCGCTCGCCGGTGATCATGATCCTCGTACCCACGACACTATACCTGCCGATGATCCTCAGAACGTTTGTCGGCGCCCACGTGGGCCTGTTCCACGGAGCCTTTCAAAAACCATGAGGCCGAGGCTGCGCCCACGGCGTCTCGAGGGGACGGCCCCGCGCGGGGCCAGGCGGTGGCGCCGGGGAGCCGGGATCAAATTAGATCCGTCATCCGTGGTCGTGGGGCAAGTACAGTCGAGGCGTTGACCTAAGGAACCCTAAATAAGGAACGAGGCCCCTATTTTCCATAAGTTGAACTTCGATTTCGTATCGAAAACCTAAGGAAAGTCCAAGGCAAGCTGCGAAACAATTAAGGAACACGGAGCCCCTCCCCAACGACAAGGGTTCCTTCTTCAGGGCCCCGACTGTACGAACCCTCCACGTTTGCCCATCGTTCACATGTGCATCACAGCTGGTCCCCCCTCCTCTGCGCAAGTGTGGCGACTGTATGCTGCCACGTCGTCGGTGCAGACAGGGTGCGCGTTATCGGTGGAGCTGAACGGAGTAAACACACGCTGGACTAACACACATCATGCAGAAGGGGGCGGGGAGGGAGGACGTCACAAAAGGGAGGACCAGCTCAGGGGGCAAACATCTATCTGAAATCGGCGAGACACCGCCGATAGATCGGCACTAGGCCCCAGCCGCTTGCAACTTTCTCCAGGCTCCGTGGAACCCGAGGCTGCCTGATGCAACGTGCGCTCGGCAATCGACTGCGGACGGGGAATGAACGAGGGGACCAGCTCAGGGGGCAAGCGTCGACCGAATTTTGGCATGGGGACGCCACGCCTTCCATCGTGGAGCCATCGAAACCCCAGAAACCCAGGGCACCCTGGAGGCAAAAAGGGTGCTTCTTGACCTGGGCTTCCTCTGTGTGGCTCCACAGCCCAGGCCGCGACGAGCGAGAACGCGGCTCTCTCCCCGCCTCTGCGGGCGACCCTGATCTCCGAGAGAGAGCCCGCAAGCGCGGGGCGCAGAGCGTACAGAGATGATCTTCGGCCCGCCATCGGAGCGCAAAGGGCAAGGACCCCCTACTCTTGCCTCTTGCCCCCTTGTGTTCCTCCCTCCCAAATCCTCCTCTTGCCTCCCTCCTCTCTCCTCCACCTCTTTCTCCTCCTCGACCTCCTCCTCCTGCTCCTCCTCCGCCTCCTGCTCCTCCTCCTCCTCCTCCTCCTCCTCCTCCTCTCATCTCCTCATCATCATCATCATCATCATCATCATCATCATCATCATCATCATCATCATCATCATCATCATCATCATCATCATCATCATCATCATCATCATCAGCATCATCATCATCATCATCATCATCATCATCATCACATCATCATCGTCATCCTCATCATCATCATCAGCATCATCATCATCAGCATGATTATCATCATCATCATTATCGTCATCATCCTCATCAGCAGCATCAACATCATCATCATCATCATCATCATCATCATCAGCATCAGCATCATCAGCAGCATCATCATCAGCATCAGCAGCATCATCAGCATCATCATCATCATCAGCAACAGCATCATCAACATCATGATCAGCATCAACATAATCTGCATCATCATCATCATCATCATCATCATCATCATCATCATCATCATCATCATCATCATTATCATCATCATCATCATCATCATCATCATCATCATCATCATCATCAGCATCATCAGCATGAGCAGCAGCATCATCCGCATCATCATCATCATCAGCAGCAGAATCTGCATCATCATCATCATCATCAGCATCATCATCATCGTCGTCATCAGCACCACCACCATCATCATCATCATCATCATCATCATCATCATCATCTCATCATCATCATCAGCATCATCATCATCATCATCATCATCATCATCAGCATCATCATCATCATCATCATCATCATCATCATCATCATCATCATTATTAGCATCATCATTAGCAGCATCATCATCATCGTCGTCGTCATCACCATCATCATCATCATCATCATCATCATCATCATCGTCAGCATCATCATCATCGTCAGCAGTAGCATCATCAGCATCAGCAGCATCATCATCATCATCGTAAACGACATGGCCATCATCAGCATCATCATCATCATAGTCAGCACATTCATCATCATTATCAGCAACATGATCGTTATCGTCAGCACCATCAGCATCATCATCCACATCATCATCGGGATCATCATCAGCATCATCATCAGCATCGTCCTTGTCAGTATCATCATCATCACCCCCATCATCATCCTCATCCTCGTCCGCATCCTCATCATCATCAGCATCCGCATCATCAGCATCATCACCATCATTATAATAATCAGCAGCAGCAGCAGCACCAACAGCTCGTCATCGTAAACATCATCATCAGCATCAGCATCATCAGCATCAT